AAGCGGTATTTGCTCGAGTCTATGGTATCCTAATCTTTAGGAATCAAGTGAGTGATTCCAGTGTGAAGAGGCTCGGGAGCGAGTTCTGATCGAGAGTCTCTTGAAATTGTCGAGTGAGAAGGTGAGCAGAAGATTCTGCCAATAGTGATGCAACCCATCCAGTCCCGGACTTTTCCAGTTCGGGGACATACGGACCGCTTCAGCTACGTCTTCCGGCGTTATAATGACGGGGTCCATGGACATAACACTCGTACAGTCAGTATGCTGATGAGGGAAATGCAAGGGATTTGCGATACGCTACTCAATTTTTTTCTCCAGGTTGGGATACTTTGTTCCGTAGCGTGTCCAGCCATGAAAATCAATCGCTTAGTAATGACTGATGCTGGTGTTGAGCTGATCAAATATATCTTCAAAGCATGGGAGAATTCAAAGGATACTTTGAGTATATTCTGTGACCTATTCAAAGCCTTCAGTTGTGTTCACCATTACACATTAACCAGGAAAATTTATCACCACGGTGTAAGAAGTGATGCTCTTAAAATAATTATTTCATATTTAAGAAACAGAAGCCAAAAAGTTTTCATTAATACTATGAGCTCTTCCAGGTCGATAGCACAAATGGACAATAGTAAGTGTCAATGACTTACCTTACATAGTAAGACATAACCATGATATAGTATTATATGCTGATAACACTTCATTAATTTTCAATTTAATACGGCAGTTACTAAAATATGTATATGACGGTGATATATTCGTAAATTGGTTTAATGCGAATAATTTGCATTTAAATGGCACTAAAACTAAAAGTATGAAATTCATTACTCCAAATGTCAAACATGATAATACTAATGTAATTTTAAATGGAGAGGAAGCAGAGTCTTGTCGATATCACCATTTTTTTTTGGAAGCTTCGCGTCCAGTGTAATGTGATGATAAGGTCTACATATATCAAAACTAGTAAGCAGACTTAGTTCATCAGCATATGCTGCAAAAAAGATTACAAGTCTTACAAATGTTGTAACAGCTAAGCTAGTTTACTTTAGCTATTTTCTTAGCATAATGTCGTATAGTATTTTGCTATGGAGAAATGCGACTTACACTGAAATTATATTTGTTTTACAGAAGCGATCCATAAGAGCAATTTGTGATTCAAAACCTAAAGAGTCTCTCAGACAAAATTTTAAGGAAATTAACATATTAACTTTGGTCTCTGAATACATTTATGAAAATGGAATGTACTTACAAAAATAAAAGTAGTGTGACAAAAATAAACTAATTAGAAGTAACAAATACTCGACTCCACCGAGTCAGCAATGAATTCTTGGGGCTATATTGTAAGCTTTTACAACAAAACCCCAAAAACTATACTAAATTTGACCTGCTCAAACTTAAAAAACATTATTAAACTAAGTTTGTATAAAAAGGTTATTATAATATTGAGGAATTTATGGATGAATGGGAATCAATCATTTCCCCTGGGAATGAGGTGATCGCTGTCAAGCTATTTCTAATTTGTGTTGTGTTGATTAATTGTGTAACAAGCATGATGAAAATATGTTATTTTAAAAAAAAATCCCGTTGAGATTCTTGCTGGTTCTTCCCAGGACAGGGGTTTTTTTCGCAACCAGTGCTAATTAAACAAAAGAGTGTCTTTCAATAAGTATTATAGTATTAAATAAAAAAGTTTCTGTTTCAATGATAACGCAGACTGCCAGGGCGACGCCACAAAGAATTGAGTCCGTCTCCAAAGGTCCCGGCTGGCTTCCAATTAGGTCTCCAGCATCGGGTTTAGAGCCTTCACGACAACCCGATTCCGCTTGGTTAGGGGAACTCGTGTTCGATTTTCGAGAGATGTAATGCGCGTTTCCGTAATCGCCTCTTCCAATGAACTCCTCATCTTCTAGTCTATCGTCGTCTGAATCAACCACAACTGGAAGATTCACGGCAGCATTCACGTGTTCTGGTTGCTCTGAAACTTGTGGCGCCGCATCTCCAGCCGTAGCGTTTTCACCCAATTACGGAACAGCCTCATGGCGTAGCCGTTCCAGTTCGGCGTCATCAAATGTTTTGAACGCTTGATTTACTGAACTCAGTCTGCCAGATTTTGCTCAGTAACGGTTATTAATGGCTTGCACAAATCAAAAAAGCGATTTATCTTAGCACAGTACGCAAACCTCCAACTTCTCCCTCTTTCCCCCTAAAATACGCCCGCAATGCATTCGAGTTGGTTTTCGTCCAACGCATGCAGCGTACTCTATCAGCAGTGAGTGCCGCTTACTGAGTTCGAGAGGACCCTGCCGATATCAAGCTATCTGGTGGGGATGAGAAATGCGTGGTGCTGCAGGATGGTCGTGCAGCCCGGCTGGCGGCCCGCATGCTCTCGCACCCAGCGCCAGCTCCAGACGCGTCCCTCCAGGCAGCGACCCTATACGTGTTCCTTTGTGTACCATCATCCATTTATGGGCGTCAATTAACGGGAGACGCCCAAACCCAGCAATGCATTCTCAATTTTACAGAGGCGCTCTCACTTCTTGGCAAGATGCTGACTGACTGCGTCGACGTAGCAGTTTTGTCACTTAACTGTTACATCGGCGGGCAACAGGGTCCTTACTTCCCTACAACATTTATTATATTATATTATTCTTTATATTATATTATTATTATATACATTTGGCGATGTTAGCTGTTATGTTGTTATTATTATAATATAGGGCAAGTCCATTAAGGTATTCTTAGAAGAGCTGATATTCCTTTTCTGAATTTATATTCATATATATTTTCTTGTCGTCTGCATACAGAAGATATTTAGCATGCTTTAAATATGTTCCTATGTCAAACAGATATGCTGCCTTAACCTTATTAAATCATTGCAAATCCCACGCACATGTAGTTTTTGAAGCAGGGTGACATGACCCACACGGTCGAATGCTTTTTCGAAGTCCATATAGATCACATAAAACTGCAAATCTCCGTCAATCCCACGCAGTACGTTCATAAATAGGATTATATTAATTATATTACTAAGCACCAATTTCAGAAGTTAAACTAAATTAAGTGTTTTTTTTTTTCTTTTGGTTTTATTTTTGGGTTGTTGACTTAAGACTATTTTTAAAATATTTATTTTTTTATAAAATTGAGTAAAGTTTTCATCTCTCAATTATCAGAATATTTGTAGGTATAATAACTATTATAATTTAACTGTTCATAGAGCCATAGGCGAATGAAAAGACTGTTTAGCATTTTAGTGTGGTTTCGATTCCCGTAGGACACAATTACTCATAAAGCCTACAAATAATCGATCCGTATTTCCCTGTTTGTTCTTGTTCAATTTACTCGTATGTTCGTAAAACACCATCACGATACAGAAAAAAAACTAGTGTTCCTTGTATTCGTAAAACATACTCAGCAACTTTCTACTTTCTATTTACAGCCAAGGTGTGATAATAAGTGTTACGGGTGTTGCCGTAACTGCAACGTGGCTGTGCGTAGGGAACACAGTGAGGCTGCGCTGGATAGCGAACGCGACCACGCCGGCTCTCAAGGAGCATTTCGAAAAACCCTACAGCGTGAAGAAGATGATACAGGTTCCGCAGAGCAACTTTCAAATATTCATTGTGATATAACGAAGCTGAAGCCATGTTATAGTTGCAGTATTGACTACATATTTGGTCTAGTGGTCGTTAACGCGACCAATGATCTTGAGATCCCGAGTTCGAATCCCGCGACGGATTGAAATCAGTTATTGAGTTTTTCTGACAAGAAATTCACAGTAACGTGTGTAGTTCAAAGTCAGGAAGTTGTTCGTGCCTCGGACAGCTAGTAAAGCTGGTGGTCCTGCGCCTGATCTGTCTCCGGTCGTGTCGGATTACCATCCCATTGGAATATAATAGTGAAGGAATGGAAAATGCAGCTGTGCTTGCGCATACATCGTGCACGATAATCCTGTCCTGCGCAGATGGCTACTTTCCGGTCAGTCTGGTCACCGTGGCCGAAATTCGGTCTGGGGACATGACTGCAGAACAAATCGGTCAGCTCGACCTGGGAAGGAGCACGCTCTCACATAACACCAGCGATAAATAGCAGCATGCTGTTGTGTTTCGTTTGGAGATCATAGATAACCGAAGACCCTTTTACTAGTAACCATGGCATTCTATTGTACATCTCAGGGACCTCAAGGTTATTTCTGATCTTAAGTTTCTTAGCGATTTTTCTAAGGAGAAATCATAACTTTCGAACCAAGTGTACCTATATTCGACTTTCATTACAACTTGAAATAAACCCAATTTGAAAGAAATATTAACTTTGTATATATTTTATTACCACAGGGTGCGGTTTTATTTAGCGTATAGTTTGCGGTTAGCTGTCTTTTTCTTTGCCCTGAACTGCATACTCCGATTTCACTCTCATGCAGGCTTTCAATAATAGAAAGTTTTCTTCTACGAGCCGTTTTGCAGCAAATGTAGTGCATGAAAACTCCTTTCTTAAAATAAAATACCAGTACAACTTTTCATGAACCGCTTTAAGTTTCCTTTTTTTTCATTTTAAATCATCCAAGTTTCTGAACGAATAGTTTGTAATATAAACTGTTTTTACATGCACCTCTTATATCTAGGTATCGGACATTAATCACACACAGATTGAACCTTAACTGGGACAAACTACATAAAATATCAGCTACACTGGATGACATCGCTTTTTTATAGAGGTAACAAACGAGCTAACGGTCCACCTGATGGTAAGTGGATATTGTGTCCCATAGACATCTATATTTATTCTCGATTTAAAATCTAAATGCAAATGCATTGTTATCCCTGAGAACTAAGCTGGAAAGCCTCGTTTGTAGTAAAAAGAGCCTCCGGTTCTCTACACTCAGCATACGTAACACAGCAGCATTAAGCTAAACCCCGGTTGAGCCGACGCATTAGTGCTATATAACTAATATATAGCTGCAAGTGGCTCTAACTCGTCCCTAAGAATGTAAAATATATTTAAAGCTGATGCGAGAAGCGGCTTGTGACTTTTTTCCGGACTTCGACGCTCACAACCACATCGACGGCAGCTGCCCCAAAGAGTGGGTGGCAGAGCGGCACACCTACCACGCCATGGCCTTCCTTTCCAGGGCTTACAACTTTCAGTGGAGCAGGTATGCTCAATAATGGTGCATTAATTTGGAATTTGGTTGATTAAATAGCATTAGCTGATTTTGTTCTCAATAAGTAAACACAATCGACAATCGATAGGCAAGAAAGGTTCTCGAGTGGCAGCCCCATTCCGGAAGAAAAGCGTAGGGCGGCCCCTGACTATAGATAGAATGCCGAACTGGTATCTAAGGGTGTCAATGGATGGCTTAGGGCCATTGTCTGTGGATGCAGATGGCTGAGGGCTAAGCTTTATTTATTTATTTAACAAGTACACTTACAATACACACACCTATAAGACATTATTATCGCAAAAACATACTCTCTGATATGCATATCAATAACAAGTGTACATAACAATCACAGAATTAGTCATGCAACTTAATTTTGGATGAATTTGTAGTAGGAATAACATCCAATCAATGCAATACGATAAAAAATTATTTAAATAAATTATGTACCTAAATAAGAAAAAATCTATTGATTAAAAACAAATTCAATTATTAGGAGGGAACATGGTAGATATTATACTCGCTTCAGAATTGAAAATATAATTAAAAACAGGAACTCGAAGATAAATTAATAGTAGATAATTAACGAATTAGGCGTTACTTTGCGGAAATCCATTACCTATATTAAAGTTGGCCATGTCTTCGCTCATGTCCGCTCAATGAAATAAAATGATGTGTCGTCTTACCTAGTTTGAAGAACAAATCTCGCCCTCCCTTAATTGTGTGCACTATTCCTGTCACCACTAATCCCAGCTCCGCTTCTCCTAACACCACTACACTAGAAAAGTCACACCATAGATTGTTTCGCCTCTACACGAGGCATCCTCAAGTGATGTAAACTTTGCGATGACTGACCACTTAGCGGGGATAGTGCACGCAATTGAGGGAGGGGAGGAGGACGGGTGGTGCTCTTCAAACTAGGTAAGACATATCATTTTATTTTATTGAGCGGCTATGAGCGAAGTAATTCTTACCAACTTTAAATTGATATTTACGCTGGACAGCTAACGATATGCGATCAAGCTCACTACACTTTACTTTATTGTATACTACTTTATGTAGAAACACACAGAATCTATTTCCGAATCTTAGCCAGTCATTGATTGTAAGACTGCCTATGTATGATACCGCTGGCATGAAAGGCAAGATGTCGAGTAAAGGCACGCTGTAAACTTTCAACGAGCCACAAAAGCATTCCTTGGAGGAACGCTATGTTTATCTGTATCAAAGCTATCGAATATGCTTTTTGGCTATGGAGGGAAAAGGAGAGATCCTCGCCGGGCAAGGTATTCAGCCCGGTGAGCGGCCTACGCTCCGTGTCCGTAGTTCGGAGCTATTATATTTAAACTGTTTGATTCGGAACTTTGATAGCGCGATTTTAAGCTTCAATGTGTTTCGCTTGTCGCGCGAGGATAGCGCCGCCACAGTTTCTTTCAACGAACTGGTGATTTATCTCGCGTCCATGGTATCATCATCATAAACGGCTGAACTGACGGGTCCGTGGCGCAGTAGCTTAGCAATGAGTTATAGCGCTAAGGGCCGCGGGTTCGAATCCCGCACGGAACAAGTATTTGTATGGCCTACAAGTAATTGTTTCGAGTCTGGATGTTTGTCCTTGATGGAATTATGTATGTAAACTGCCTACACGATACAGGATTAAATCCTAATGTGGGGTAACGTTTACAATTTAAAAAAAACTTATAAAAAAAAACAATAGCAACTTTTCAACTTACTTTAACAATTAAAACTTTTAACTGATGCAGGTGGATCAGGGTCATGCATTGTGGCTTTCCTTGAAGGAGGCTATGTTTAGCTGTTTCAAACATTTATTAATATTGAGATATATAATCAAAAAATCATTTATCTATTTTTTCATCGCTAAGTTTCTCTCCTGCATTAGTAGCAATGCTTGTTTGCAATATTTGTTTGTAAAGTTTAATTACAGTCGGTTTCGCCATTCCGAAAATTAGTACAGACCGAGAAACATTTTAAAACTGTTTGTGTCTTAACAGCATGCATATAACCATCGGAGTTTATTAGAAGCCAGTTGTTTCAATATTTCAGACAGATACTTCAATTTTATTTATATGTTTAGATTAGAGATGGGCCGAATATTCGTTTTATATTCGGTATTCGGTATATTCGGCAGCTTTACCGAATATTCGTATTCGGTCGAATATTCGGCTAAATCACCGAACATTCGTTTTCATAGTGTGCAATATATTGAAATGTATGAATTGAGTAATGTGATGTATTTTACTGTTGAAGTATACTTTATTTATGTGTTAAATGTACTTTACTCTAGAGTGTCTCAAATGCATAAATCTATACATTTATATTTTTGAGGCACTCTAGATTTATTTCCGATTATGGCAAATAGAAACATGATTAAACGTTTTTGGAATCAAACAAAGAAACATTAGTTTCTCCAAAATAATTCCAAATAGTAAATCTTCTGCCACTCATTTTTATCGTATAATTATCAATTTTCACTAAGAATAAAACAGCGAAATACTTTTTTTCTCACCGAAATAGTCAAAACATAAGCATGTGCCGGCAATTTCCTCAGTACTAGATGATGCGATAACTGTCAGGTATGGCGGGGAGCAAGAGGCAGGATCCGGCGCTAATCCCGCGCGCCTCACGGTAACAAGTTTCGACATAAATTGGTTAGGTCCCAAGGTTATCCTGCCGAATAATGTTCGGCCGAATATTTGGTTCGGTAAAAGTTTTACCGAACATTCGGCCCAATATTCGTATTTGGTGAAATCCATATTCGGCCCATCTCTAGTTTAGATGGGGAGGGGGGCTCATGTCCAGCAGTGGACTTGTGATGGGCTATTGTGATAGAAATAGTAGTAATAATTTATTTGCATTGCATGTTCTCCAGATGGAACATCTCGGCGGGTAGTCGCAATATTGTCATGCAAATACGGGAAGCCGTTGACAGAAAGAGAGAGGTTAGTTTTTTTTAATACAAATAAATTTAACTAACGAACACACCGTCTAAGTGATGTTAAGTGGATGGTGTGTCCTATAGTAACTTACATTTATCCTCCTTTAAGAGGACACATCATTGCCGTCGTATTACTAATTGACTGGCTTTTGTGTATACCTACTTTTCATGAATGTGTGCAGTTTTAAGTTAGACAATCTCTACCTTTTTTTACATAGGTTGCTGTATTTCGGTCGTGAAAAGTATAGCGAGCCAGTATAGTTACTGGCTGTGCGGCGTAACTTCATAATCCTTATAGGTGGCAACGCACCTGTGACCTTCTTTTTTTGAAGTTCCGCCTCGCGGGATCAAGGACGAGTTATGTCGGACTCGCACCGACTAAAGCCCCATGGCGTTCCAACTTCGTCGCATATTGACAGGGCCACGGCAACGCTTTCGCACCCATCCGCAGCCCCACCAGCGCCGGCAGCCCCATGGCAGCACCTCCACGGGGGAGGACTACTCCTCCATTCTCCTACCCAGGTAAGGCGCACCAGAACACATTGCGCACCTTCTTCCACGACCTCCAACTAAACCTGCGCAACGGATGCCCCCAAGTCCTCAGAACCCAGAATCCCTACTCAGAAGCACTAGCCTTCCCGACCCAAGTGGCGGATCTAGTTTATGACTCCACCGTCAACCAAGATTCGACTGCGGATGGTAGGAAGAGTGGCGCCTCGCAATACCGATACTTCTCTCCCCCCGCAGCCCCACCACCACCGCATCAACGGTGCAGCCCCGTTGAATCGCGGAGGATATGGCAAGTGACGCATCGCCATACCAAGACTCCTCTTCCTCCGCGACTCCACCTCGGCTGTAGCGGTAGGGGGAGAGGACACCCCTCTAGCCGCAGCCCACCAGCACACATCCGCACAACACAAAACAAGTGGCCTCGCCAAGCCCACTCAGAGTGGCCTCCTCGGGCCGGACCATCACCTTGGGCCAGCCACGTGGGTTCCTCTGTGTTCACCGCGAGTGACCAAGCCACGGCTACCAAGCCCACCCGCCACGACAAGGCGGGAACCTGTTCGGAGGGGGCGGGGGATCAGAACCGGGGATCCTTTTTTACTGGATTTTTTTTATTTGCAATGAACGGCTTAAAGCCTTTCACAGGCCATACTTTGCCGACCCCTGCAATAGTAATAATGGTAAGCAAATATGTGGGCAAAATCAGTTATTTTGTTTTCGGATCAGAATGACTTTTGGGTTGTCCTTAACTGCATTGCATTTTAACATCAAACAACTTAGCGTAAGTTTTACTTTAACTTCAGACAATATTTCTAAGTAGTTGCACTGGGCTATGACAAAGGGTCGTCGAAAAGGGCAGAACGTCTGCCTGGCAAGCTAGTATATATATATATATATATATATATATATATATATATATATATATATATATATATATATATATATATATATGTATATATCCGGTGTGGTCGCAATATTATAATTACTACTTTAAACCTTGCATATTTCAAATGACCATTCTTGGCAACAAGTTTTGTATCTGGGTCTAATTTCTAATTAAAAATATCTAATTTTTGTATGTAAAACATCTCCAAGATATATTGGAAATTCATACATGGTGAAGGATAAAGTTTTTATGTATTAGTTTTAATTATTAAATAAGACTTTAATATAACAAAATGAGGTAATAATGCAATAAATGTCTATAGGCAAAATTCCAACTACTCCACGCAACACCACAACGCGCTACCATACTTATATGTAACGAGCTGTCGCAAGAACTCAACCTGGAGCCTTTAGCTGGTCTTCAGGTAAGGCGTAGCAACAGCTCTACAGTTTATACCTTTTTTCTCGCCATAAATTATCAAAATCAATCAAAATCAACTCCGTTATTGTGCAGATATTACCGCACCACAGCGGTGCATATAAATCGATAAAATAATAAAAAATAAATCCCAAGCGAAGTTTCAAACAATTATGCATATGTACATTGTCATGGTTGTAGGTACTCAAATTCTAATTTTTACGATTTCTAATTAACTTCTTGGACAAAACAAATAAGTTAGAAATTTTTTTTCATCAATTTATAATGTTATATTTTACATTAATTCTGATGAAAATTTTCTTTACAGTTCTACCCGGACTTGTTCACGCTTAACATGTCCTACGGGTCGGTAGACGCGCGTCGAGCAGCTTTTAGTATGAAATATAAACTCGTTGAGACAGTGTTCAGTATGCTGCAAGAGCTAAAATTGTGCAGTTATTCATAAAATATATGAAATTTAGTTTTCTTAAGTACAAAATAAAGTCAAAAAAAATACCCGTTATGTGTATAGTTCCGCCAACAAACATGTTTGTGATATCAATAAATGGAATCGCCTGAGAATTTTTTTAGTTTTTATTTACTATTTACCCAGAAATAACACATACAAAGTTAATGTTTTGTAATAATAATAATGTAATCCAAACCAAATTTTGGTCACGGCGACTAGCCTCAACGGAGACTAGCCATCGGCGCAGGAAAGGATTATAGTGCCCAAGTGTATGCGCACAGGTGCACTCTCTGTTCTCTTACTTTCATAGTCCGATGAGACGGTAAACACCACCGGAGAGATCAGGCGCAGGACCAACGGCTTTACGTACTTTCCGAGGCACGGTGGTCAAACATCGCCAACTTCCTGGCTCCAGGCTGCTACTGCGAATTTCTTGATAGAAAAACCCAACAACTGATTTTGACCCGACCCAAGTTCGAACCCAGAACCTCATGATCAGTAACCGCGTTTGCGATCACTAGACCAACGAGGCACTCTTTCTACGCCACTGGAATAGTTTGTCAGCTCAATCTTTCCGACCATATGTTAGTCTTGAAGAGAAGAGTGACTAAGCTTTTTTGTCATTTACAATCCAGGACTACATCAACCCTTACCATCACATAGAATAGTAGTCAAGAACTAGCTTATAAATTATAAAAAAATAGTAGATATTTACTCACACCTGCTATTCAGAATAGACAGAACCCTACGATTTTCCATTTGACACGATCGTCATACCTCTCTTTCACCTCCTTTACATGCATATACCTACGCATACCCTATGCGTAGGTATATGCATGTAAAGGAGGTGATAAGGGTACTCTTAATTTGATATTGTTACGCGCTCAAGTCAACGATACACTAGCGCCATCTAGTGTCAGGAACGAGAGCGAGGGGAGCATTGAGAAAATGACATCACAAATCACTCAACCGACAGCGCCTAGTCGAAAATCGAACGCTCGGTACCTTGCGCGTGTTTACTTGAACATTCTGGATATTTCTTTGCTAATTTATATAACTAGGCGCTGCAAGATGCGATCGGGGCAGAGTTGAACTCGGCGACACAAGCGAAGCTTCGGAGCGGAATTAAGTGAATTAGTGTGTTTAATTATTAGTGTTTTTAGTTTTAATTTGTGTAAAGTAAATTAAAGTGTTAATTTAGGTAATTTTATCGGCAATTTTTATTGTCACGAACCGCAAGCTCGTAACAATTGGTGTCAGAAGTGGGATAAAATCATGCCGATTTTACCTAAGGAGGAAACGGAGCGTGTCCGTACCCGAAGTCAACGCCAGCAGGAGACGGACCAACGAAGATTTGGTGGTGCAACGCCGCAGACGTCGGAGGGCCAGCCACGGGCTGCAGGCCCGTCGGTAGCTCCTACATCTACAGCAGCTGACTTAGGTGCTCTGATGGTGATGCTGCAGGAGCAGGCTCGTCGACAGGAGGAGCAGGCTAGCCGACAGGAGGAACATGTCCGTCGGTTGGAAGAGCAGCTGCGGGGTGGACAGGATGAACAGGTCCGCCGACAGGAGGAACAGGTCCGCCGACAGGAGGAACAGGCACGCCGGCAGGAGGAACAGGCCCGTCGTTTAGAAGATCAACTCCCACGCGATAAGGAAGAGCAGATGCTCCTCATGGAGGACCTTCACGCTATCTTCGGAAAAGAGATACGGGAGGTGAAGGATAAGGTTGCTCTATATGACAAACGCCTGTCGGAAGCTGAAACCCAAATCGAGAAAGCTGAAACCCGAATCGACCAAGTAAACAATCGGGTTGACAACGTAATGGCTGACATGAAGAAATCACTGGACGAACTCAAACTTTGAGATGGAGCTACAGCTCCCGTAGTAGCTACAACACCTTCGCTACGTGGGTTCAAGGTGCCACCGTTCGACGGTACCTCTTCCTGGTCAGCCTACAAAATCCAGTTCGAGGCTGTTATGAAGGCGAACGGCTGGAATAAGTCAGGCCATGACTGCTCTCACACTAGGCCTGCGCGACCAGGCCTTAACAGTCCTGGAAGCTCTCGGTGAGGAAGTGACTTATGAGCAACTCCTTGAGGCATTGGAGGCGAGATATGGTGACGCTCACCTGGAACACGTCTTTCGTGCGCAGCTTAAAGATCGTGTGCAGCGCATCAACGAAAACCTGCAGCAGTGGGCTCTAGAAGTGGAGAAGCTGGTGCGAAAAGCATACCGGTCTGTACCTGCGCTGATTGAAGGGAACCTGGTGCAGACATTGATCGACGGCATTCGTGACCTGGAAGTCAGAGCTGCTGTGAGGCTCGGGCACCACGAGACGCTTAAGGACGCCTTGGCCCATGCACTGGAGGTAGAAGCCGTGCGGCAGGATCATCGTTCCCATCACGTCAGGGAGGTTGCAGCAGCTACAGTTCGCGACCGCAACAAAGGATACAGCCCTAGGTGCTATGGCTGTGAGGAAAAGGGCCATCTTCGATCCAGCTGCCCTAAACTAACCGTGGAAAGGAGAGTTGATCGATCTCGAGAGGGTAGTACAGCTAACGGCACTGCCTGGCGGCGACAGGATCATCGTTCACCTCACGCTAGGGAGGTTACAGCAGTTACGGTTCGCGACCACAATAAAAGATACAGCCCCAGGTGCTATGGTTGTGGGGAAAGGGGCCATATTCAGTCCAGCTGCCCCAAGCACACCCTAGGAAGGGAAGGTGAACGGTCTCAGAAAGGAAGTGCGGCTAACAGCACCGCCCATCAGCAGCAGGAATACGACCTTACTATCGAACATCGCAGCGAGAAATCTCACGGCAACGCAGATGCATTGTCAAGAAGACCTTGTCCTGAAGATTGCAACCATTGTAGTAGGCAAGAGAGTAAGGAGGTGGTATCCGTGAGGATGCTCAGGACAGACCACCTCAGCAACGGGTGGAAGGACAGCCTACGACATGCACAGCAGGAAGATCCGGACATCAAGCCGATTCTGGGATGGATGAAGGCCCGTGCTACCAAGCCTAAGTGGAGGGACGTCTCAGCGATGAGTTCAACCACGAAAAGCTATTGGGCCCAATGGGACAGCTTGCTGATTCAGGATGAAGTCCTGTGCCGTAAATGGGACAATGGTCGAAGAGACAGCTGTCGTTTGCAAATGGTTGTCCCTAAAGCTAAAGTGCCGAATGTTCTACAGCTGTGCCATAATGGTCGTTCAAGAGTCCATCTGGGAGTTAAACGAACTCTACTGAAGGTCCGAGAACAGTTTTACTGGGTCCATTATCGTGACGATGTCGAGGATTGGTGTCGTACATGTACAAGTTGTGCGGCCGTGGGGGGACCTCAGACACGTAGTAGAGGAGCACCGAAATTGTACAATGTTGGTGCACCACGGGATAGGACAGCCCTTGACATTGCGGAGCCGTTACAGAAAGGCGCAAGAGGGACTCCTAAGATCGTCCATGTGAATCGCTTGGCGCGTTATTATGGGGCCGATAATGCTCGGAACGAGCATGTCTTAGGAGGGGGCAGTGTTACGCGCTCAAGTCAACGATACACTAGCGCCATCTAGTGTCAGGAACGAGAGCGAGGGGAGCATTGAGAAAATGACATCACAAATCACTCAACCGACAGCGCCTAGTCGAAACTCGAACGCTCGGTACCTTGCGCGTGTTTACTTGAACATTCTGGATATTTCTTTGCTAATTTATATAACTAGGCGCTGCAAGATGCGATCGGGGCAGAGTTGAACTCGGCGACACAAGCGAAGCTTCGGAGCGGAATTAAGTGAATTAGTGTGTTTAATTATTAGTGTTTTTAGTTTTAATTTGTGTAAAGTAAATTAAAGTGTTAATTTAGGTAATTTTATCGGCAATTTTTATTGTCACGAACCGCAAGCTCGTAACAATATTTATAACACACAATAGTAGTGCTAGTGAAAATACAGGATCTTACCAAATTTCAACCACACTTACACGCAACGCGAGGAACCAGCTAATGACGATGGTAGCAAATCCAACCAAATACGCTGAACCCCATATTTTACACCGGTTATGTTACAACACACTGTTCTGGGTGGTTGGTATTTGTGGGGAAATCTTCCCACTACTCGCCAGCTCGCATATGCTGGGCAGGATCAACGTTCAGCTGTGAAATTGGCCGTTTATGAAAAATACTTATTGAATATCATTTAACTCCAGTTCGGAAATGCGATGCGATGTGACTGCTCGTCTCTAAATTACCACGGCTGTAATGATGTGCGAAACAGTATTTAGGCTAGTAAGTTGCGTCGTGGATGACCTTCAATGATGTTAGTCGCTTTGGACCACAACATTCTTTTGGAGGTTTTTAAATAAAGCAAGACAAGTTCAAGAATGATGTATGCGTCCAATTAGGGAAATAAAAGACGTTTGTTGCTATAAACAAATTATCAATTTATTTTTACCGATTAAAAAAAAACTAAAAACTACTAATAGGTAGTAAAAAAAACTATATAACTCCTTCCATTAAGAAATGTGGATATAGAATAAAAAAAGTTAGTTATAAAGGTTAATTTTACAAAATAAAAGTTGTGATAACAAAATAAGATATGCTTATGGTTTAATGAATGGGTTTTTTTTATTTACATTACTATTTAAGCTGTCTTTATGCCAGTGTATAAAATCTAGTTTACACTTCGTAAATCCTATTTACACAAATAACTAAAAGCTACTTACATAATCTGTGCCGGATTTTCTAAATTCAATGGTTTTCCTTATTTTCAATGCAATATAGTAATTTAAAACAATTTTAATTTCTAACATATATTTTATCACTTTCTGTTGTTTTTAATGTCAAATTACAAATTGTCTTACACTATTTACATGAAACCAACGAACTCTAAAAACTATCAAACCTTTCCGAAAATAAATAAGACAGAAACTTAATACTATCAGAGTCGATAGTGAGATTAAAAATGGCGGTTCGGAAAGCCTGTACCGTCAGCATACACTTAC